AAAATACTAATTGGAGCTATACACCAATCCCATTATAGAGTTGGATTAAAGAGTGACTTAGAAACTCATGAAATGAGCAGGGGCAGCAGAGTGGCTCAGTGGTTAGCATTGCAGCCTCATAGTGCCAGGGACCTGGGTTTGATTCCACCCTCAGGTGACTGTCTGTGTGGAGTTCACACATCCTCCCCATGTCTGCAGGGGTTTCTTCCGGCTGCTCCGGTTTCCTCCCACAGTCCAAACCTGTGCAGATTAGGTGGGACTGGCCATGCTAAATTGCCCACAGTGTTCAGGAATGTGTCGGTTAGGTGGATTAGCCAAAGGAATGGCAGGGTTATGGGGTAGAGTGGGCATGGTGAGTCTGGGTGGGATGCTCTTCAGAGGGTCAGTGTGGACTCACTGCACCAAATGGCCTGCTTCCATACTGTAGGGATTATGTGAATCTTTCAAATTCCTATAGACAGAAATAATTTTCCCTTAGGAAATTATCTGGCTGGTTCAAAAATGTTGGCTTCACCAAGGGTCACAGAACAACCAGTGGAGGTAACAGAAACTGAAATGTTACAGAAGGAATATCCTGGATTGTTTCCTGACTGTGATGTGACTAGACCTGAGGCCCATTGAACTACACAGGAAGAAAAAAAGAGTCTATGAAAAAGGGAGATGATTTGTAAAGTCAGTTATTGGATACAAACTTTGAAAATTTTTAATTAAAAAGAGTGAAGGTGGAGAAAATGAGGCTGACATATTTAGTCCATATCCATGAACAGAAATGCAACAAACAGATTTGAAATTGAATGAGTTATATGAAACAGCTTACTCAGAAACTGAATCAAAAAGGATACCTGTGTGTTATTACTTGAAAAACAAATTCTTAATGAAGAAATGGAGACCACCTCAAACACCAACCGGTGAGGAAAGGGCTATGGTTCATCAGCTGGTAGTCCTATCTGAGTACCGGAGCAACATTTGATGAATGACTCTCAAAATTCGAATGGCACATCACTTAGGAATTAGGAAAACACAGTCTAAAATATGAAAGCACTTTTATTGGCCATGATTACACAAAAATGCCAGAAATGCCATAACATGTCAGGTAATGAGGAAACCGCAACAATCAATTAAATCTGCACTTTTAATTCCAATACCAGCTTTCAAAGAACCATTTAGCAAAGTCTTAACAGATTGTGTATGACCTCCACCTAAAACCAGGAATGGGAAACAGTGTCATTCACCAATTATGGATGTTTCAACAAGCTTTTCTGTAGCAATGCCTTTAGAAAAAATGACTACAAAAGTTCAATGTTTTATATATATATCCAAAAAGATAAAATTTGAGCCTTGATCTGTAAGTATTTTAGACAGCTAAGGAAATAATGTCTTGTTTACAAATTAAACAATTCACACTTTTTGTGTTTCATCCATAATCAAAGTTTGGAGACTATGGCATCAAAGTTTGAAGACTATGATTCAGTCTTATTGCTAAGAGTGTCCTAATGATAAGGATAAGGGAATTCCTTTGTTACTATTTGCTATTAGGGATGCTCTGAATGACTCCACAGCATTCAGTTCTTTTGAACTAATATATGGATGTGACGTAAGAGGACTATTTATTTAAAGTTAATAAATCAAATCTCAGAAACAAAATTTCCAACCTTCGTCTCACGTTTCAGAGAGAAAATGATTAATATATGTAAGTTGGCTCAAAGACATCTGAAAGAAGCTGAACAAACAATGAAAATTAGAGGACACAGAAAGGCCAAAGTTTGAAATGTTGCTGCAGGAGGCAAGGGATTAGTGTTGTTACTGCCTCTGGGGAACCATTAAAAGCAATATTCACTGAGCCTCATCAAATGAAGAAGAGATTCAATGATGTGAATGATGTAGTGAGTACCCCAGACAGAAGAAGAGTCAGTGAGTATGTCATATTAACATGATGAAAAGATTATATAAGGATGATGGCTGGGAGAAAGGTATAGTGAAGGAAGTAGGGAGAGAAATAGAAACATAAGTGTAATACGAGATTAGTCCAAAATGGAGAATTCAGAAATTAACTTTCCAACAAACAAATTGGAATACACTGAGGTACTTAAAGGATTAAAAATTCTTATCTTCCAAAAAATTATCAAGGTGACCTATGAAGACTATTACAGAATTATTTGTGAGAATAGGCCTGGAAAAGTGGTTTTGGCTGTTCACAATTTTGATGTAGAGATACATTTCCTATAAAGCAACACCTATACTGACTCAATCTAGAGAGATTAGCTCAGGTGAGGAAAGAGATTAAGTTTATGATGAACAATGACATTATTGAACTGAGCCAAAGTAACTAGATACCATCAATTGTGGTAGTGCCAAAACAGGATGGATCACAAAGATTCTGCATGATTATCGTCAATGTGGTAACAAGAGTGGACTCATATCCTACACCATGACTGGAGGATGTGTCGAACAAATTGGACACGCCTGGTTTGTCACAAAAATTGACTTGCTAAATGGATATTGGTAACAGAGAAAGCTACAGAAATCTTGGCTTATGATACACCAGATAGAGTTAATCAGTACAAAGTCATGCTGTTTGGAATGTAAAATGCATCAGCAATATTTCAATGGGTAAGCAATAATCAAAGGACTCAGCAATTGTAAAATAAAACAAAGAATTGCGATGCTGGAAATCTGAAATGCAACAGAAATTGTTGGAGAAACTCAGCAGGTCTGGCAGCATCTGTGGAGAGAAAGCAGAGTTAACTTTTCGGATCCAGTGACCCTTCTTCAGACTTAGCAATCGTTTTGTTTACATTGACTATTTGGTTGTTTTTAGTCAAACCTGGCGAGAATGTTGACACCATTTGACTGAACTGTTTGATCGACTTTGGAAAGCCAATTTGCTGTGAATTCAGCGAAGAGTGAACTTGCCAATTCCAAGATAGTGTATCTGGGCCATACAATGGGATAAGGCCAAGTAGCACTTAGATAAACAAAATTAGAGGCTATTTTGGACATCCCATGCCTAAATCGAGATTTTACACCATGTAGGCACCCTGTGGGTTCTTTCATGTTTATTCTGCATTTCAGCACTGTCATTGTATTGTTAACAAACTTTGTAAAAGGCAAAACATTTGAACATACATAACAGTGTCAAACTGCCTTGGAAAAATTAGAAGCTGTACTAAAGACAGCCCAATGCTAAATTATACAAAGCCATTTAATTAGCTTTTGATGCCAGTGATGTCAGTGTGTGGGGTCTGTTTTACTGCAATATGACGAGATGAGGATTGAATGATTTGTCAGTTATTTTTCTACAGAAGCTGACCGCAAATCAACTAAAGTATTCAAATGTTGAGAAAGAGACATTGAGTCTTGTGATGGCTCAACATCATTTTGAAACATACATTACCAATAATATGGACAAAACTGTTATTTATACGGAGCATAATCCTTTGAATTACTTAGAAAGATGTTGGGACAAGAACTTACGATTAATTCGATGGAGCTTAATTCTTCAACTGTATAATTTGAAAATCGTTCATGTGTCTGGAAAAGAAAATGTCATTGCGGAGGCTTTATTGAGAGTGCATATGTGAGAGACATTGTGTAGTGTATCAATGATTGCTATGTGATTTAGTGTATAATTAATATTGACATGTAACCAGGGTTAGTAATAGGTAGAATTAGCAATAAGATAACTTTTGATGAATAACAAAAATGCCTATTTAAAATTTATTTTCATTTTTTCTTTGGAGGGGTGTGCGACTAAATTGTAGGATTTACAAATTATATATATTAATATTATTTATTTTAAGTTTGGGTTTCCTATTTTTTAAAGATGACACATTATGGATTTTCTGTGCATCTGAAATTAACAATTAATTTCCAAATATTTCTGTAGCATGGCGATTTCTTTCAAACCTGGCCCTCAGAGTAAATGGGTTTTGTGTACCATAAACGGGGACATTTGTTTAGTTTAGTTTGTTTTACAATGTAGCAGGGTAAATAATGGGGCCTCAAGGTTGGTTATAGATCTCTGGAGCTTGTTTTTCTGAACCATAAGGGAAACACGAATAGCTTAGAGAAGGTGACTTCTGGTAATCAGTTTTTACTTTGAGTAATCTTATGAAGTAAAACCTGTGCTCCTGAGAAAGGAAGGATATATAGTAAATTAAATTACCTTAGATTGGGGGATTAGTGTTAATCCCAGACCAGGAGTGTTGGGATAAAACCCTGAAGTGGTTACTTAAAACTAAGTACATTTAATCTCAGGTGTATAATAGCTCCAGGAAGAAGCTATCTGCAGTTCCAGTCTAAATGGCGATGTTGTGTGTGACTTTTAGAAACCAGGACTTTGGTGTGAGAGCTGTATGAGTGCTTTTTTTGGGCACTGTATAAAAGCTGGTTTGTTTATTTTCAATTTTAAAAGCAGTGTTTTGGGCTATATATTGGGTAATACTTTTACTGCGTGTTTAAAAATTTTTGAATTTGTGTGAAAAGTGGATGGCTTGTTTTTTCCAATCTTAGCTTTTCTTGTTAATAAAAATTTATTTTCTTGTTAGAGCAAAATCTGCAGCATTTTGACTTTATGTTTCAGCAAGAGACCATTATGTTAAAACTGTACAAATCCAAATATAAAGAATCATACCAGGTTCCTGTGGGTTCTGATTTGTCCAATAATAGCATCAGCTGAGAGCATCACAGTCTATTATTATCATTATCTGCTTTATTATTCTGAAACACATCTAGAGTACTCTGAACCTCAGCCTGCAGTACGGTCTATTACTGTGAACCTCAGCCTGCAGTACTCCCTATTGCTCTGAACCTCAGCCTGCAGTACTCTATTACTGTGAACCTCAGCCTGCAGTACTCTCTATTGTTCTGAGCCTCAGCCTGCAGTACTCTCTATTGCTCTGAAACTCAGCCTGAAGTGCTCTCTATTACCCTGAACCTCAGCTTGCAGTACTCTCTATTACTCTGAACGGTGGTCCTGATCCTCTTTTCCTTGTACTTACGTAAAGCATGCCATTCGTCCTGCCGAATGGTCATGGTTAAATTGACCGGAAGGTTTCGTGGGACTGTTGAGGAGGAGTAGTGATACTTCACAGGGATACATCGTTGTACAACACCTGTAACACAAACATACAATTTCAGAGCCACTGCTGGTCTACACTGTGCAACTAACATAACACGCCCACTCACTGCAAGTATTACTGGCATTTTAACCATCTGTTCGTAGGCCATTGACTCTGTCTGCCCAGAAAGCTATATAATCGATTCTACCATCAAATAGCCACAGTGCGGACACATCAATTCAGTATCTCTTCAGGAAAGGCATTGTTACTTTCTTGCAATACCCAGACAACTGTCGCATATAAGACAGAGTGACATCTTAGAGCAGCAGCCAGCTTTCGTTTCTGCTTTCCAATATAGTAAAACCATGGTCTATTGCAGCATTCTAGTCTGGCATTTTGCATGTATAGTTCTGCTTTCAGTAAACTCTTTTCTGCTTCCATCCTCTTGTCCCTGGGCATTTTCCAGTCACGCCTTACCCCAGGTCTCCACCAGTTGTCGGAGGCCTTTCCTCCCTGCTGGGTCTAGCTTCATTCAGGCTTCAGTGTTGACAGGCCCAGGGTGAGCTGGTGTTGATGTTTTTACATTCAACACCACAACGTGAGCCCCTTCAGACTGCAATCATCACACTTTCAATTCTCCAGACTTAAACCACAGCCACTAACAACACATTCTATCAGGAAGCTCGCTGCACAGACAGCGAAAATGAGTAACAAATCCACTCATTCCTAATTGTTAGACCGCCATTCAGTCTGCCATACTCTCTATTACTCTGAACCTCAGTCTGCAGTACTGTATATTACACTGAACCTCAGCCTACAGTACTGTATATTACACCGAACGTCAAAAAACTCTCAATGCTCCTTGTTCCGGCAATGCCTGGGGCTCACTGTTCCAATAATTATGTAACCCGATGGTATTGCAACTCCCCTTGCTTCAGGGGTCTGGGTGTTGGGTGATTACATGAGAAGCAGCTGGGACTGAATCAAGGCCAAGGTGCAGCATGGATTAGATACAGCTATCAAACTCCCTGCACCCTTGCTCTCCCAGCAGCTTCCGTGAACATAAAAGCCCTCTCAGTTCTTCTCCAATCAAGCTTCCATCACTAGACACTCCACAGAATACGTATAGGGTGAAGGTCAGGCCGCACTGAGTAAACAAACACTCCATAAGCAAGTAAAAAATAAACAGAGAAAATCCACCTATAGACTAAACACATTCATCAGGCCCAGGACAGGGACAGCGCTGAGTTAGAAACAGAGTACTACTCTCTCTACTCTTTTAAGCTGAAAGTAAAAACTAACTCTGCTCTTTAAACTGAAATTAAAGCTTCCTCTAATCTTTTAAACTGAAAAAAAACTCCTTCAATTCTTTTAAACTGATAGCAAAGCTTCCACTACACTATCCACATCAAACATTAACGGAACAGGGACAAGATGGGGTTAGATACAGAGTAAAGCCTCCTCTACTTTTAAACCCAAAGTAAAGCACTGTCAACTCTTAAACTGAAAGCAAATCTCCTGCTACACTGTTGCCATCAAACACTCTTAGGACAGTTACAGCACAAGGCTAGATACAGAGTTAAGCTCCCTCAAGTTTTTAAAATTGAAAATGAAAATTCCTCTACACTTTTGAACTGAAAATAAAGCTACCTTGATACTGTCTGAATCAAAGTCTCCCAGGATAGAGACAAGACAGGGTTAATTCCTGTGCAAAGTTGGGTGGGAAGGTGAACTATGATGAGGATGCAGAGATCCTTCAGCATGATCGGGACAGGTTGGGTGAGTGCGCAAATCAATGGCAGATTCAGTATAATTTGGATAAATTTGAGCTCATTCAGTTTGGAAGCAAAAACAAGAAGGCAGATTATTACCTGAATGGCTGTAAATTTGGAGAGGAGAGTGGGCAGTGGGACCTGAGTGTCCTTGTACACCAGTCGCTGAAGGTGAGCATGCAAGTGCAGCAGACGGTAAAGAAGGCAAATGGTATGTTGGCCTTCATTGTGAGAGGTTTTGAGTACAGGAGCAGGGATGTGTTGTTGCAGTTATACAGGGCCTTGGTGAGACCACACTTGGAATATTGTGTGCAGTTTTGGTCTCCTTTTCTGAGGAAGGAAGCTCTTGCTCTCAAGGGAGTACGGTGAAGTTTCACCAGGCTGAATCTGGGGATGGCCGGACTGACATAGGAGGAGAGATTATCTAGGTTAAAATTGTTTTCGCTGGAGTTCAGGCGAATAAGGGGCGATCTCATAGAAACTTACAAAATTCTAACAGGACTGGACAGGGTAGATGCAGGGGGCATGTTCCCGAAGGTGGGTGTGCCCAGAAGCAGGGGTCACGGTATGAGGATTCGGGGTAGACGATTTAGGACGGAGTTGAGGAGACATTTCTTCACCCAGACAGTGGTGAGCCTGTGGAATTCATTACCACAGAAAGTAGTTGATGCCAAAACATTGAATGTATTTAAGAGACGACTAAGTATAGCACTTGGGTCAAATGGGATCAAAGGTTATAGGGAGAAAGCAGGATTAGTCTATTTAGTTGGACGATCAGCCATGATCGTGATGAATGGCGGAGCAGGCTCAAAGAGCCGAATGGCCTCCTCTTGCTCCTACCTTCCATGTTTCTATGTTTCAAACTTCACTCTACTCTTTAAACTGAAAAGAAAGTTCCTTTTTCACTCTCCCAATCAAAGATTCCCAGGGCAGGTAGGTGGCACAGTGGTTAGCACTGCTGCCTCACAGCTCCAGGGACCCAGGTTCAATTCTAGTCTTGGGTGACTGTCTGTGTGGAGTTTCACATTCTCCCTATGTCTGTGTGGGTTTCCTCAGGGTATTCTGGTTTCCTCCCACAGTCCAATGATGTGCAAATTAGGTGGATTAGCCAAGGGAATCGCATTCACTTAATGGTAATATCCTGGGGAGTGCTGCTGAACAAGGAGACCTTGGTTCACAGTTCCTTGAAAGTGGAGTCGCACGTAGATAAGATAGTGAAGAAGGCATTTGGTACACTTGCCTTTTGGTCAGTGTACTGAGTATAGGAGTTGGGAGTCATGTTGCAACTGTACAGGTCATTGGTTAAGCCACTTTTGGAATACTGTGAGAATTCCGGTCTCCCTGCAATAGGAAGAACGTTGTGAAACTTGAACGTGTTCAGAAAAGATTAACAAGGAATTTGGCAGAGTTGGAAGGTTTGAGATAGAGGGAGAGGCTGAATCAGCTGGGGCAGTTTTTCCTGGAGCATTGTACGCTGAGCACTGACCTTATTGAGGTTTATAAAATCATGAGGGACATGGATAGGGTAAATAAACAAGGTCTTTTCCCCAGGGTGGGGGAGTCAAAAACTAGAGGGCATTGGTTTAAGGTGAGAGGGGAAAGATTTTAAAGGGACCTAAGGAGAAACATTTTCACGCAGAGGATGGTGCATGTATGGAATCAGCTGCCAGAGGAAGTGGTGGAGGCTGGTACGATTACAACATTTAAAAGGCATCTGGATGGGTATATGAATAGGAAGGGTTTAGAGGGATATGGGCCAAATGCTAGCAAATGGGACTAGATTTATCCAGGATATCTGGTCAGCACGGATGAGTTGGAATAAAGGGTCTGTTTCTGTGCTGTACATCTCTATCTCTAGGTAGGGTGAGGAGGGGTGTGGTTCTGGGAGGGATGCTCTTCAGAGGGTTGCTGTAGACCCAATGGGCCAAATGGCCTCTATCTGGACAGTAGGGATTTGATGATTCTCCATATAGCATGCGGTTAGATACAGAGCAAAGTTTACTCTACATGGTCCTATTGAACACTCACAAAGCAGGTACAGCATGGGTTTAAATACATAGTTAAGCTCCGCTACACTGTCCACCATCAAATACTCCTAGACAGGTACAGTATTTAGTTAGATACAGAGTAAAGCTCCTCCACTATTTTAAACTGATTATAAAGCACCCTGTACAATGTTAAACTGAACATAAAGCTCCCTCTGCTGTTTGAAACTGCAAGTAAAGCCCCCATTACACAGCCACTATCGAAGACTCACAGAACAGGACAAGCACAGCATTAGATACAGAGTAGAGCTTCCTCTACTCTTTTAAATTGATTGTAAAGCCATCTTTACTCTTTTAAACAAAAAGTAAAGTTGATATTTCTTACCTCAATTTCTCTGTCCCCTCACCTATTCAAAACTATCTCCCTCTGAGCACCCTGTGCTCTCAGTTCCAATCCTGACTTTGTAATTAAGCCTGTCGACAAGGGTGGTGCTGCTGTTGTCTGGCGGACTGACCTCTATGTTGCAGAGGCTGAGCGCCAGCTCTCAGACATCTCCTCCTTATCTCCCCTTGGACCATGACCCCATCATGGAACACTAGACCATTGTGTCCACAATGGTCAATAACCTCATTTCATCTGGTGACCTCCCCTCCACTGCTTCAAGCTCATAGTCCCCCAGCCTGGCACAGCTCGCTTCTACCTTCTTCCCAAAATTCAGAAACAGGTCTGCCTGGATAGCTCCATTTTGTTTGCCTGCTCCTGCCCCATGGAACACATCTCTTCCTACCTCAACTCAAATTTTTTTCTCTCCTAAGCAATTAGAACAGTAACAGGGGGCATGAGAAAGGACTTGAGAACAGGATTAAGGAAAATCACAAGATATTTTATAAATACCTTAAAGAGAAGAGGTTAACCAGGGAAACAGTAAGGCCCATTAAGGACCAAGGGGAAAACTGGTGTGTGACATCACAGGATATTGGAAAGGTGTTAAATAAATACTTCTCTTCGGTCTTCACTCTGGAAGGGAGCCTCACATTAATGGTAGGGAAACTATTGGAGAAAATTCTGAAGGAACAAATTAATATCCACTTGAAAAGGCACGGGATAATTAGGGATGGCATGGCTTTGTCAGAAGGAAGTCCTGCCTAACAAATTTGTTAGAATTATTTTGAAAATGTGATCGAGTCTGTGGATAAGCTAAGTTCAGTTGATGTAATTCATATGGATTTTCGCAAAGCTTTAGACACAATTCCACATGGGAGACTGTTTGAAAAAGTTAAAGCACATGGAATTGAG